TGGACTAGATGACCCACAGAAGTCCCTTCCAACCCCTACTATTCTGTGATAAACCCCTACCACTGTAGCAAAAAGCCCTTTGACCTGAGGTAGCTGCAGTAGACTGTTAACCCTTTACATAAGGAAAGTAGAGGTATTTTTAATCATTTGCTTAATGAAAGACAAGTGGTTTGGGGTTATTCTTGCCCACCCTTTTGAGGCAAGCTAGTAACTCTGAAAGCACTGCTTAGCAAAGCTATTGAGAAAGATACTACAGCAAAATACCAGGAATTTGTGTTTGCCATGTTAGAGATCTGAGACTCAAGCCTGGTTCTCTTTTTAATCCTTCACCAACACTGAAGGGAGGTCACCAGAACAGCTAAGGTGGAACTCTCCCGGTAAGCATCTAGTCCATTCTTTAACAAAGAAGGAAAAACACCTCTCTGTTAAAAGACTTTTATTAGCAAACCATTTCATTCTCAAACAATTAACAGTGCAAGATCATTTGCTGAAGAGTAGCAAGGAAACTTATTTTGACATCCATGAGCATTTTCTTTAACAAATAAAAGATATATTCCTGTTATTAGGGGTTATGGCATCGAAACCAGGTCTTGACAATCATAATCACTACATTCATTCACTGGAAACCAGAACCAGGAGAACCTGTCCCCTGCTTTTTTTAATCTGCCTGACTTTGACTGGCCAATGTGAGATTTGGAGAAAAAAAACGAAAAAAAAAAAAAATTTGTGTATGCTCAATAAGACAGAATGGAAACTTACTTTGGGGCCTGGAAGTCCTTGTTTTCCTGGCGGGCATATGCAGGGGGCAGGCGTTGAGCCTACATCACTAGGACCATTCATGCACTACCAAGAGTGAAACCAGCCATCAATACACATGCCAAAAGCATTCAATAAATGTATCATAACATTATACGAAGCTGATGTTCCTTAGGTTGCATAGGTCCTGGCTTTCACTCCTTTGTTCAGCTGGAAGTTCTGCTTACCTGAATATTGCCCTCCAACTACATTGCACGCATGAATTCATCATTTTACCCAGAAGAAAAATAAATAAAAAATTAAGTACCGATACTGGGCTGATATCTGAAACTCTGTTTGCTTTTCCACAAATATTTTGTCATATAGGTTGATAATTTTAAACCTGGCAACATGCAAAACACTTCTCCTAAACTAATTGATATTCATCATCTAAAATGTGATCATTTATCAAATACAAATACTTAAATGAAGTTTGTAAAAGAATCTAATAAATATTATGTATAGCACAATGACCACAACCAATGGGCATGCTATCCTGTGTAGCAATCCTGAAAAGAACGTAAAGCCCAAGTCCCTCCTGGGCACATTTCCCAACTGTAAAGCTACCTGAGGAAAGGTCAGGCACGGCTGCTACCACTGACTCCTACAAGTCATGAGTCCTGACACCCAGGATACCCATCCTCCAAAGGCCATTAAGTGACCTCCTCCAGACTATGCTCCCTGTACAAACAGCGGTAAACACTAAACTTTGGCAGTCCACACCACCCTCTAGATTAGGTGTTTACCTCTCACCATCAAGACCATATGAAACCTCAATGTTTCATCAAGGCAGGCAAGGGGAGAGCTATTAGATCAAATCCACTTGCCCAAGGTCAGGCACCCAAAATTTAGGCGCATCTGTAATAAATCTATATGCTGAAGTTAGATTCAGTGAATTTTTTTTCACCCAGCAAGTCCTTAGAGCTATGGAAAGGCAAAAATTTAAGAATCCAAGATACAAAAAAGCATATTTTGTGTTTACTATCTAAAAAATTTTCTATAACATTTTACTCATATTTACTAAAATAACGCAGACTTTCTACAATGTCCTCTGAATGGAATTCTTTCTCAGAATCAGATGATTGATCAAAACACAAACCCATGTTTCCTTTGCAATGCTACCAAGTGGCGTTACAAGGATGGTTAGGGAAGCTATCATCACATGAAGCAGGTAACAGCTACCTGACTGTGCATACCCCCATTCACTTTGCAACAGCATCCAACCCTGCAAACACAAGTAACTGAATTGAACCAGGGAAAAAATCTGGCCGTTTAATCTAATAAACATGGCTTTCTTCATAAAACTGATATTTACTTTGTCTATTGACTAGAGTTCAATTCATGGAAATCCAGCACTTTTAAGCTTAGCAAACCTCCATCCACTTTGCAAAACAATGTATATATTCCCTAGAATAATAAGAAGTTTATATAAAGTCAAATACTACCTTAAAGTGAGTTTGAGCAGTTTAGGATTGAGCCTACCTCTCCATTCTGAAACAAGAAGAAACACAGATTAAGAGTACAGCAATATTTGGAATAAGCAAAATTCATGCATTTGTAAACACTACCAAAATCATTCATAAATTTAGGGCTGTAACTATCAAGGAATTAATAGTTCAGAATTCTAGTCTTTCTCAGGCTTATGTGCAGCTGCTATCAATGCATATGAATTCTTAGTTTATTTCATTACAATTGCTACCAGTAGCAATTTTTAAAAGGCAATGACAAAACTACAATTAATACTGAACCATGTAAATATTTACAGACTAAATGTTTAGGTTTGGGTCAAACCTTTTTCCAGGAGTAACTTCCAATCAAAACAATCCTCTGCTTACTCATTCATGTCAAGAGAATGTACCAAAATATTTCTAAAATCTCTCATCTCTGCCTCAGTCCAGCATCTGGGAAAACATACAGAGGCACAGAGGCAAGGCTGGCTTTTTCTCTTTCCTATGTGACTGCATTAGCCTCTGCTATCAATTGAATGAAGTTTTCCAGTATCTGCAAGGCCACAGAACAATCCATCCCCAAATATTTCAGCATACCAACCATGAAGTTGGTTTCATAGCCACCATTAGCTGCACCATGTACAGGAGTTGTCTAAAAGGCACACAGTCACCACAGACTTCATACACAGTCTGTGGAGAGACACAGCTTCCTCTGTATTCAGTTTTCACCTCAAGCAGCTTCTAGAGAAGGTTATCTTTCTCCACGGATCATAGAGGGAGCTTAAAATTACTATGCAGCTAGGCATCTCCAGGAAAGGGGATGAATTCAGGCTGTGATCAGTACATACAGCCCCTGCTTAGCTCAGGAGCTCTGACACAACACAACCACGCTCTGACAGAATACAACCACAAACCACATATTCCTCCTTGGAGATCATCCATCATCTTTATTTTCTGAAGGAGTCCAGAATTTCATGGGTAAAGTCCAAGTTTAATTTACAACAACAGCAAGTGAAACTAAACTGAAAAAGAAACAATCTTTTTGCTCAGGCTTCTTGCCAAGTCACAGAGAACACAAGATATGATGGATTTTTTAGTGTTTGACTTCTTTATGCAGAATTTTTTTTCATTTGTTTACATTTCATATCCTACTTCTATTTTGTAAATGGCAAAAAGATACATGGTGCAGTTAGATAGACAAATACTAAATTTACTCCAGGATTTAAAGCTAACATTACAAAAGTGTTCCTGAACCCATTAGTTCTTGTCACGCAGAGTCAGATTTCCAAACAGCTAATAATCCAGCCGCCTACTCGTTGCTTAACTGAAAGCTGTGAGTTTTGAACAAGCCCTAATAAGGGTGCTGATTGCAATAGACACACTGGCCCCAAACAAATAACAGAAAAACAGACTAGCTGAGGGTCTGTGCAAGTCTGACAAAACCCCAAAATATCTGGATGTTACAGATTCATAGGTTCTATTGTCAAACTGACAAAATGGTCCCAGCACTAAACCAAATGATAACATGAAGAATATAGGTTTACACAGTAAGACACTCGTGCTCATGTCTGATTATCTTTAACTCAGTTTGCTTTAGACACCAAAGGAGGACATTTTGAATGAAACTGTACCCATAAAACAATCTCTTGCTTATATTCTGAGTTGGGAGCTGAATGCTTCTGAAAATATGGCTCCCACTGTGTGTCATGAATGGTTTCCAAATCTGTTTGCACGTGTTTTACATTTCATTGCATAATTAACTGTAAGTAAGAGGACAAAGAGAGGGTCAAAGGATCTCCGTAAGTTTCCTAATTGTGTACATGCATCATAAAATCCTGTACAGGATTTTGTTTTTATCTTATCCATAACACACTTCATGAAATCTTGGCAACACTTCAGTAAATGTATTATTTAACACAGACATCCGCATAAATAGTTCTGATAGTAAAAGGTGATTTAAAAATATAGGTTTGTTGTTTATGTACAAAAATTTCAGAGATTGAATGGCCTGAGACGTAGCAAAATACGTGTATCAGATGAGTTAAAAAGTAATATCTAAAGTCTTTTACACTCCTGTAACATAGTAATTTTATTAAAATATAATGTTTAAAATCATAAATTGTAACAGAAGATTCTGAGATTCTTCTGTACTGCTGTCAAATTTCCACCACCAAATACCTAAATTAAAAAAAACTTCTAAAATACATTTGTGCAAAAATAAGGCTGAAAACAGACAAGCTTCGTGTCACTTGATACTGCACAGGTAACAAGCGTTTGTTTGCATCAGCTGAATCAATGCAGTATTACTTATTCTAAGAATTCATTGAGTCAGCTTTAAACAGTGATTTGTAAAAAATGCCAAGCAGTGCTCAGAAGTTCATCTATCATACTCACAAATCCTGGGATCTCACAGACTGTTTCTCGATTATTTTGCTCTGGGTCACAGTAGATTCGCAGCTTTTGTATATCAAACTATAATTCAAAACATAAAGGACTTTTTTTTAGAGAAAGTGTTAATAGTCTGACATTAAGTTAGTTTAAACTATAACCTTCTTAAATTATATCATCCGCAAGTTTAAAAAAACGAACAAAATACTACAAAGCAAGAGAAACTGGAAGCTCTCTGTGTCCACTACAGCTAAAAGTCAATTGAAGATGTAGAAACATTTTCAGTCGGGCTGTTCACAATGATTAACACATGCAACCAATTAAACATTCTGTAACAGAATTATCTAAAGAAAAATAATCAATCCAAGATTTTATTTTCTAAACTAACTGAAATCACCACTCCTAATCCTTGGCAATAAATCCAAACACTCACAGCACAAATTACACTGGCTGCCAATATCACTGGGAAACAGGTTACAACCGCACAGGTAAAACCAACCTTTCCCTTTTTACCTTTACAGTCCTGGGAAGATGTTTTTACACTGACCTGTGTAAAAGGTCAAATTGATATAAGATGTAAAAGGTCTACTAGATGTAAGATTAGTAAATTTTGGTGAAGCATCAGATGGCATCCCTGACACTTGAAAGAATTTGGTTTAGAGTTTAGCTGTGTAACATAAAGCTTTAAAAAGCAACCATTAAAAGCACTGGCACCAGGTAACCAAAGGTTTGTGCCATTCTGCTCTGTCCCTATACTCCAGAAAAATTAAACCGCTGAAGTCAGTTTTTCTAGCACACGCTATCATCACTGCAAAGAGAAAAAAGCCCTGTTACTCTTATCTGGAATCACAGACTGTAAGTTGGACTAGCAGGAGAAGAAAGCACAGAAAGTCTGTTAATACCATGCCTAGTAATATGTGTTTTCAAATTCAAAATGCCTACACTTCACAACACTTAAGTATGCATACAAGTCTATCACTGCTATACTGGATAGCACTTCAGCCAGTAAGATTCTAATTAAATTGAGAACACTTGCAAAATATCACTAGAAAAATCTGAATCAGAGCACAGAAAGAGAATTCACCAAAGAATCTCTGAAGAAGATTCTTATATCATACTTTGTATCCAACTCCAACTGACTTCTTAAAGGATTTAAAAATACCTTTTCACTGAAAGGCGGTATACAGATTCCTTAAAATATTTCTCTATAATCACAGTTCAAATAGAAATATCCTGGCAAAGTTTGACTGTCAATGCTTTGCAGACTGCATCGCAGTCGGAGAAAGGAAATAACTTATTTTGACTATAGAAATCACCTGGAAATATAAAATTGCAACCTGAGGCAGATTTTCTACTTTTCTTCTACTACACTGTCAGAAGAGGACCTTATACAATTCGACTTTCCTAAGCTATTCTCATTTTTATTTTAGGTAACATGTCTTGCTACTAACATTCTTTAACTCAGAAACCGTATTCCTGGGAATCTATAAAAGTCCCATTTCTGCAACGACTTATGAGAAAAACCAAGACACAACAACAACAGACAACCAACTCTAGTCCTACCATGCACAAACCTATAAAAATAGTATAATCTCGCATCAACAGAGAAAATGCATAAGATGATTGATTACAATTCTGAAATCTCTTTACTTTCCTTGCAATAAGTGCTTAAAGTCCCATCAGAAATCTGTGACAAACATTTAGTAGCTTTTGCAAAGGGGTATTTTAGTACACGGACAATGTTACCACCAGAAATGATGAGTCACACACACAGTGCATCATCCAAGTTTCCACGTACACTTTTGGAATATGATAATAATAGAACTGAAGCCTGGCTACAAATACATAAAATTCAGGAGTAACTGAGTAAAGAGTTATCTGAAGAAATGTCTGACCCAGAGTATCTGAAGAGAGTTAATGAAGATGGTGAATAACACATTAATATATTTTAACAGGAGCAGTAAGGATCATGAAATTAGAGTACAAAAAAAGCATCGCTTTCAAAATAACTAAAAAAAATGTCTACTTATGTAATTCAGTATTTCTTAGTATTGTTTCCATTACTATCAGTCTAATCAGTAATGTCACTACCACATTGCTATAACTATAAGGAAACAATCTATTTAGCAGTACGACAGAAACAGAGTTGATACATCTTGTACTTTCATGACAGCTACTGATGACAAAGAAGCTTCATCAAAATTTTATCTCCCTCCTTTACCAGCATAACCCATACACTGATGGAAGGAAATTACACGTAAGTGTCAAGCACAGCGCAAATCCCCTGCTTTGAGACACCGTCTCCCAAGTTCAGGTGACCACATTGCATCAAATTTGCTTTTCAGCAAAAATGAATACCCCTTGAAGTCAGTGAGGCCAACCAAGCACCCACCACACAGGATACATCAGTTGTGCTGAGTCCTCCTGACCATTTCTGTTCCCTCTCAACTATCAATATGTTGTAAATTAAATTTCACTCTAGTGTAAATTAGAAGAGTAAGTTCAAGAAAACAGAAGGCACCAATGCAATGTTAACCCACAGTAGGATTTCTGAATTATTGTGGTTTTAGCATATGCGTACCTGTACAGTTTCCTCCTTTCCAGAATACTTTCCTATTTGCGTTAGGCCACTGATGTAAATACCTAAAACAGGATGTAATGGCTTGGTCTCAATTTCTTGGTCATCTATATACAAAGTTACAAAGTCTTCTGTTACTAAGAGACGAATTTGATGCCAGCCTTCATCAAACAGCGTCTATGAAAAGTGAAGAAAAGAGAACTGTTTAAAACAAAATGTCATCAATTTCAATAACAACAAAACTGCATCTCAAAATTTCAACTACTGTTAACGGTTGAGATGATCGATGTTCCAGGTTTTGTCACAGAAAAAACTGTAAACTGAATAGGCATAAAACATTTGCCAACTAATAATATAATTGAGAAGACAGTATTTGGTAATAATTAATCCATATTTCAGAGTTATTTTACAACTCACATAGACTTTTTCAGTCTACGATCTTGAACATGCTCAAACCTGTATTTGATAAAAATATGAAGCCAGTGGTAAATTTTTCAGCAGTGGTATATTGTCTCATACACTTCAGGACTTAAATCATGGTGAAAACAAATTGCTACTTGAAAGTCTTTCTACTTAATATCTTATGAAAAAAAATCTTACAGACAACATGATATTAGTGGAAAGAATCACAGTATTGCAGTGAATAAACCAAATATTACATTCACTATGGCACAAAAACTCAGGTTTCTAAAGCTTAAGATTTCATTTAAAAAAATAGCATAGTTCTACCAGTAATACAGAATGTGAGATACCTTTAAACAAGTATTTATCTCACCAACCTTAGAAATGAAATTCAACATAGGAAGAAATGCTGCCTTCTTGAGCCTATCCATTAATTTCAAAAACAGTCTAGCTCTTTAGCCTGGCCTAGACCAGATGCTTACCTTTTACATACCTAAATTTAAGAGAGATTAATCCCACACTAAATTGGTATACGTAAGCGTAAAGTGAAACGTACATCCTTCCATATATCTTTGTTACCTTTTTTAGACATAAAGAGAAATTTAACCGTATTTCACTTAATAGTATACACCCCTAGATAGCAGTTGTTTCTATTTTCATTTGTCGATAAGGTTTTTATTTATTTACAATGGCTCTCATTACAAGATAAAATTAACAACAGATCAGAATTTATAACATTTCCATTTTCCTGAGTAAAAGTGATAAATTACCATAAAGGTTTACTAAATACGAAGGTTCATGAAAAGCATAGTGATATTTATAGTGTGTTTAGAGACATACAGCTCTAAAAAGGGCATAAAATTAATGTTCTCCATAAGACCAATACAAGCATGGAGGAACACAAAAGTAAAAAAAAAGGAAAAGTCTTCTTTTCATGGTGAAGTTCATGGATACCTGTGACTGCACAAATAAGATTGATTTGTCACTGTAGGTGCCAGAAACAATTAAATACAAACTTTTGGATTTACTTGAAACTGAATTTTCTAACAATTTCCAGCAAATCAAGTTTCACATTGCTTTTTAAAAAAAAAAATTATTTTGCCTACAAATAATTATAGAAAGGCAGAGGATATTTGGAAAGAAAAAATAAAATTCTCCATCCAATAATAGAAGAATAAAATACTTCTCCCTAGCAAAACTTAGTAGTTAAGACCTTCTCTTGGACAGGACTTCTTCCTTCTCCAAGGATTTACATTTCAAATAACTTCAGCCTGATTTGGAGTAAGGATTCGAATGCAGGCCACCGTTTCCCAGAAAAGTTGAACCCACTCGGTCATGCAGTGCTCCAGCAGTAAATCTTTAGCATTCTTTGTCTGCTGAAGCATCCCTCTCTGTTCACTTAACTAAGATTCCCTGTGGTAGGAATGGGAATGTCTGGGCTGCATATTGCTATACTGCTACAAAACCAAGAGTAGAGACATCCAATCTCCTTCCCTCTGTCTGGAAGATTGCAAGAGAACTTTCAGATTACACTAAAAGACAATAAAATTGGTTTGCACAAAGAAAGGAATCCCTTCCGCGAGAAAAATAAGCTCCATGGAATTTTTATCCAACAGTGTACTAGACAAATCCAGATTGAACTCTCATTTCATAAGCTGCTATTTACTCTTCTGGAGAAGAATGTAACTTCTGTCATTATGTATTTTCAAGGAATTTAGACACTTAACAAAAAATCTCTCTAAAACAACTATTTTCATTCACATTTTCTAGACTCCATATCAAAGGCAGAAAATACTTTCCAGCATGCATTAAGCAAAGAGCTGTGTGAAAAAAGGTCTCTGTGATCTCCACAATTACCTGCTGGAAGCTACCAAGTAGAAAGCACCTGCAAAGCATTTACAGTGATGACCACTGCGGATACTCTGGCAACATGGGTAAAGTACCCCCACCTATTTTTAAACGCTGAAACAGTCAGAAATAGGACCACACATTCTTAAAAAACATAAAGGGCAAAGGAATAGCATGTACTTAAATGAGTATTCCAGCATGATGATGACTTACTCCTTACCTTTACACGAGGTGCAGCAAAAGTAATAACTTGCGTGCCATTTATTAAACTTGTAGTAGTGAATGATAAAGTTTTCTCTTCTCCATTAATAGTGACTGCTATCTGTGGTCTCTTATCCAGGCTTAGAATTCTCCACAAATCCCACGTCTTCTTTACTTTAAATCTTTGAGTGGAAACAAACACATAGGATGGAGGCAGACCTTCTGGAAACACATTCCTAAATACGGGAGAAGTGGGGGAAAAAAAAAGACAGTACTTGAATATTCGTATAAATCTTAAAATACGTCTCTCTCACTTTTAGCAAACAGAAAAAAACTTAATAAATTTAGATGTGTATTTACAAATTCAAATACCTTGTCAATTCTGACAGGTCAACACGTGAGGTTACTTCATAAGCTTTTGCATTAGTGGTTGGTATTTGAATTCTTTTTTTAACCTTTTTCTTCACGCCTAATCCTACAAGAATGTCAAATCCTTTTTCATCTCGAGCTGCCACTGGAATTCTTGTCGGACAAACAGATTCTGCAAAGTAACAAATGCAAGTATAGCTCAAATTATGATTTAAATCTTTCAAAAAGTAATCTCCCACATACCTAATTTTTTATAGCTGCCTTTCAAGAAATAAAAGAGAATTGAAAACTGTCAGGTAAGTATAACACGAGAGACGTGACACGCAGAATCCTCAGAGACATTAAGTGAGAATACTGACATGTCATATTTTAATGCAATTGCATTCACATACTATTTTGAATTGCTATTAATTGTAGTTAGAAGGTATTAGGTATTACAGTATTCCAGGGATGGGGCCTCCACTACCTCTCTGGGCAACCTGTTCCAGTGTTTCACCACCCGCATTGCAAAAGATTTCTTCCTTATACTTAGTCTAAATCTACCCTCCCTTAGTTTAAGAACCATTATTCCTTGTCCTGTCCCAACAAGCCTTGCTAAAAAAGCCTGTCCCCATATTTCTTATAAGCCCCCTTTAAGTACTGGAAGGCTGCAGTAAGGTGTCCCTAGAGCTTTCTCTTCTCCAGGCTGAACAGACCCAACTCTCTCAGCCTTTCCTCACAGGAGAGGTGCTCCAGTCCTCTCATCATTCTATGGCCCTCCTCTGGACTCGCTCCAACAGCTCCATGTCTTTCCTGCGCTGAGGGCTCCAGAGCTGGACGCAGGACTCCAGGTGGGGTCTCACCAGAGAGAAGCAGAGGGGCAGAATCACCTCCCTTGACCTGCTGGCCATGTCTCTCTTGATGCAGCCCAGGATACAGTTGGCCTTCTGGGCTGTGAGCACACATTGCCAGCTCATGTCCAGCTTTTCATCCACCAGTGCCCCCAAGTCCTTCTCGGCAGGGCTGCTCTCAAGCCCTTCATCCCCCAGCCTGTATTGTTGCCCCGACCCATGTGCAGGACCTTGCACTCGGCCTTGTTGAACCTCATGAGGTTCACACAGGCCCACTTCTCAAGCTTGTCCAGGTGCCTCTGGATGGCATCCTGTTTTTCTGGCATGTCAGCCGCACCACTCAGCTTGGTGTCATCTGCAAACTTGCTGAGGGTGCACTTGACCTTGCTGTCTACGTCATTGATAAAAGTAGTAAACAGCACTGTTCCCAGTACGGGCCCCTGAGGGACACCACTTATCACCAGTCTCCATTTGGACATTGTGCCGTTGACCACTAGCCTCTGGATGCTACCATCCAACCAATCCCCCAGCCACCGAACAGCCCTCCCATCAAATCCATATCTCCCCAATTTAGAGAGGAGGATGTTGTGGGGGACTGTGTTGAAGGCTTTACAGAAGTCCAGACAGATCACATCCATAGCTCTTCCCTTGTCCATTGGTGTAGTCACTCCCCCACAGAAGCCCTCTAGGTTGGTCAGGCAGGACTTGCCCTTGGTGAAGCCATGCTGGCTGTCTCGAATCACCTCCCAGACCTCCACGTGCTTTAGCATAGCTTCTAGAAGGATCTGTTCTATTATCTTCCAGGGCACAGAGGTGAGGCTGTCAGGTCGGTAGTTCCCAGGGTCCTCCTTTCTACCCTTTGTAAAAATGGGCACAATGTTTCCCTTCTTCCACTCAGAGGGACTTTACCTGACTGCCATAACTTTTCATCAGCCAATTCCCTCAGGACTCTGGGATGCATCTCATCAGGTCCCATAGACTGATGTACATTCAGGTTCCTCAGGTGGTCACGAACCATGTGTAACATTATACATTAGGAAACTATTCTTTATTTCCAATGGCATGTTGAAGTGTTACTTAAAAACATTCCCAGTACAGTAGATCTTTTGTGGATCATCTGGATCATCTTCTGGCAGGACTATTTTGATTGATAACTAACCAAGCCATTACTCAGGATGCAGAAGTCAGTGGCAAAATTAACAACTGTCTTCCACGGGAAACAGGGTTGTGTTTCCAGTCTATAGTACCAGTCAGAGCAATTCTCTAGCCTCTGATGAAATCTTGTTCCCTTTTAGTGTTTTTACATAGCTTTCAGATGCTTTATTTTTCCTTCCTGAAGCAGGAAATAACTTTTTGATGTTAAATCCCATTATCTAGCACAAAGGAACTTTTCTCAGCATCCTCCAGACATACTTCTGAGGTCTGCATTGAGTATTGTTTTCAAATGCATTCCTGGCATACAATCTTTTCTATATTCTTGCTAGAGAATATTAATACTACAGGAACATTCGACTTCCAGAATAAATATTAAATATTCCTTAAATATTTGGGGACTTTTTCAGACAAGTTTTTGTTCTCGGATGACAGGTTCGGCAGGGTTTTTCACCCTGCCATTCTCTTAAATGAACACTAGAGTTCCCAAAAGGTACACGAGAGCCCTCCATCCGCAGGGTTGTTTGTAATAGCACTACTTGCTACACAAACCACTGCACCTCAGCCTCCTTTTTCCAGAATGGAAATACTGCCCCTGTGCTCTGGTATCTACTTTCACATAATAACGAAGTTAAAAACACCATAGAGTAAAGGCTGGCATTTTTTTAGACGTTAAAACAAAGACAGTCAAGAGACAACTGCAAAATTTCCAGGCAGTTTCATGTGGCTGATCACAGTCAAATCATTGCTGCTTTGCCCTCATGGAACTCCCACAGTCAAAGTGAATCTTAACAACATGAATAAAATAATCCACCACTCAGATATAAAATTTCCAGTGTACTAGTCTTTCAGTTCACCTGCTAAAGACATTGTGGTTAGAAATGAAGCTGCCAACTGGCTCTGATTGCTCTTCGAGAGAGGCATCTCAATGCTAATGTGAGGGAGGAACGCAATGTAAAAGACTGGAAGCAAAGGGTCACTTCAAGTGAAACAGTATGGACACTTTTGTATATATAGCCAACATTTGCAGATTACTGCTGTAAGAGTAGTGTCAAATATTGCAGCTGAGTTTTAAAGGATACTAGTTAACTTAATTCTGAAAGCCAAAAAGCCTTCTTAATGAAATGTAAGACTTCTTCTAAACCTTATTTAAAGAAAATATCGTGTTTATTTTGGGGGATTTCTCACTGTGTGAAGATTTATTAAAGAATTTAGCTGTCCTTAGCTGATTTAAATTTTAGACTGGCCACCTTACTACATCAGTCACAAGGACATATGATTTTCATAAGTGTATCAAGAAATAAACACTATTATCCTCAAAATAAGTATCTCCATATTTTTTCAATGATGTCCATACTAAAAGTGAGAGCAAACGAAAAGGATTTTTCATTCTCACTAAGTGCAGAAATATAGTATAACTGAAATATGACTTGCATCAATTCTTGGTAATAAAACATACAGCACTGATAAATATTTGCTGCATAATAGAGTCCTTCTGAGTGATATATTTTAGAAGCAATTTGCTATCTTTTTTATATATACAGGAAAGCCAATGTTTTACAAAGTTATCAGAAAACTCAATGCAGTAATACTGCTAGCATTCTAAAGCTAAAAAGTCACTTTACAATGTTGGTCTTGGCTAATTCTTCTATAAAATCCTTCTAAAAAAGATCATAACAGCTGGTTACAATTCCAGGCACTCTTGCCAAGAGTCTTTCTTCTGGGTTTTTCAACACACACTAGCGGAAGAACTCCTGTTTGTAATGATAGGCTATCCTCTCAACTGTCAAGCAGAAATGCTGGACTGTGGATGAGTATCAGCTGCACCTAGGAACAGGATAAAGACAGCCCTAGATTCTCAGCATTGTAAGAACTGCTCAGCTATTTTAGGGTTTCTAAACTTTATCAATGCAAAAAATTTGGGGCTTAAGGCAAAATGCTATATACCGAAATTAAATACACACTGTGTTAAAGCACCATATCCTTCCCAAATATACCTCTCTGTTTAATGGAGAAAATAACATCTTGGGAGTGATTTCTGCAAACAAGATCAAAACGAAAGAAGATCATAGTAAAGATTATCAGATGCCTTAGGTTACATTAATCATGCATTCTGCTTGTGTAATAAGCACAGAAATATGGGTACAGAACTACATTCTACAGACCTCATATATTTTATAATCAATTACTTACCTTCACAGAGTTTCTGCTTTATAACTTCTTTAATTCTTGATATTGCAATATAATCTTCAACATAAAATACGTAAGTTGATGAAGGCTTGTTGGCAATAGCTTTAAGTTCATCTTCCTCAATTTCTGAGCCAACACCAATAGCAAACAAAGTGATTTTATTTTTCCTTGCTTCTGCTGCTACATCTTTGACTTCATCTTGTGACTTTCCATCAGTGAGAACAACTGCTATTTTTGTTAAAAATCTTGAAGATTTTGCAAAAAGATGGTCAAAGGCAAACTGAATAGCTCTTCCTGTTCTTGTATTTCCTCCCAGGTAGCGTATGGACTCCATTTCCTTGATGAGGTTCTCGGTGGATTCATGAGTTCCCAGAGGAATTTCAAGTACAGGGTAATCGCTGTACTGGACAACTCCAACTTGAATAAACTTTGGCCCTATGTCAAAATTTCTTGTAATATTGACAAGCCAGCTTTTGATTATTTCAAAGTTTTCTGGGCCAACACTGTAAGAGCCATCTAAGATAAAAACTAAATCCGCTGGAGCAGTTCTGCAACCTAAAAAAAAAAAAATTAAATATTTTAATGAACTCTTCCACAGGAAATATTTTTCACATAAATTACTGTTTGTATTAGAATCTGTATTGAATCTGTATTGACAACACATTCCAGTTCAAAAAACCCTGCTGAGTTTATCAGAGAAAACAAGACTGTTTCTGTAAGCCACACAGATCTGACTTGTTATCTGAAAACCATACCATTTTCTGGTTTTTACATTATCACCAGAAATGACTACAAAAAAATCTGGAATTCAGGCTCCTCAGCTGGCAATTGCATTTCATGCAATCAGCAGAGGAATACATTTTGTTTTTTTCCACATCTCTTTGCCTGCAGAGATGATCAACATAAAAACTCATTTTTGTTAGCAAACCATGCACACTGCAGAGAAAGGCTATAGTCCGAATGCTCCAGAAGTCAGCAGTAATATCCTTTTATAAATACACTTTAATTGACTTCCAGTACTGCTACATGGCACTTACAGAAGCTGGTAGCTTAGTCTGATGTTAGTAGAGAAAAAAAGCTCAGTGAACGAGCTCAACCTCCAGAATATAAGATCGTGTAAGCATTTAACAAATATAATGTAACTGCGTGATGACTTAGGCATGGATTCAGCTCTCCTAGCTGTAGTTACTTATAAATGGAAGTTTTAGACTGACATGCCAACTACAGGCCATGGACTAACACAAACATTACTATAAGACAGACCTATACATCTTATATGCACATCCTCAGATGCAGGGCCTAACTCTCTAGAGGAGAGAATCATCTTCCATCGATTGTGAAAGGAGCTCAGAAACTGATACACGAGGTGCCAAGGAGATGGCCAAAACCAGGAGAGATTACTTTGATCCCATGACACATGGGGTCATGGGGGTTGCTGTCTAATATTGTGCTTTCTGTTTTGTGAAAGGCTGCAGCTCCACCACAGAAAGGAGAGCTTTGCCTTGTCCTCACATCTGCCTATGGACACTTCCGGTCAGGTCAAGATTCACCTTCCTTGAAAGCAAGTGACCACAGCCGCTGGAGAGATGCTTTTGCAATGCAGGTGGTGGTGAAGAGAAAAGACATTGGGAGAAAGAGCAAGGGGCGAGCAGAGTGCATCACTCTGTGGTCCAGCGATATGAATCACAGAGTAATTCCAGTTCGAAGTGACTTTGGACATCATTGGATCCTGCTGACA